ATAATCATGATTCAGTGCCCTGGCACATCCCTGCACATTTAATTTAACTTTAGGCCATCATTAAAAATATCTTTGTTTCCCCTAACCCGACCCTAAAATCTCAAGTTGAGTAGGTAGGTAGGTAAATTATTTTTTTTTTCTGACAGCAGTTTTGAAAACACCTATCTTTATAAATAAGAAAGAACAAAAGAAATGAATTTTTAAACCGAATATCATACAAATGAAGCAACATGTATGGTACATTAATTCACAAATATTATTCATTTAAACTTGTGAAATATCTCAGGCCAGCGTAAATTTACTGTAATCGAATATTTACAAAAAGACAAGAATCGCAAATACTAAACCATCGGACATCCGAGTATATTTTTCAAACCTACTATCATCTTCGAGTACTTACACAGACAAAATGTTAAGGGCCTCGCGTGGCGCAGTGATTCTTGTGTTTCGTTTTTGGAGTCACGACGTAATTCAGGAGCTTATTCTAAGCCTCAGGTCCCGACAAGAGACGTGGAGACTGGTCAGCCGAATGAGACCGTAAAAAACGCAGGTCCAGTGTCGCAGTATACATGTAGATGTTGGCACGAAAAAGATCCCTTACTGATGCTTAATTAATAATCAATGGCTATAAGTGTCGAGTAAAAGTCTAAATTAGATGTCCTCCACCGGCCCAACAATTTTTTTAAAGATATTTTAAAGCAAAGAAACAACCTATTTTCAAGGGCCTAACTAAAGAAAAATACACTATACGTCTCAGGAAGCCGTACCATAAGCCAATTTTAAAGATTTCAATACTATTTGGAAAGAGTGCACATGTATAAAGAATATTTAATTCAACCAAACCATATCTAAAATGATCAAAGTTTCATATATCTTATGTTATAGTCACGAAGTTAATACCCCATAGATAAAAGGTAGGAAGAAACGACATCTGAATGATATTTATCAAGATGAAATAATTATACAAAGAACATATTTACAACTCCTATGGTCCTTTATAGTTAAAATAGGATCATACATGAACTGGTTTTTTTTTTTTAGATCGAAACAAATGAAATGCAGTGAAATTTATTGATATGTATACACAAGGTGGGCCCCTCATCTGCTCATGGGACAGGCTTTGCCATGCCTACTACGTACGTTAATCTTAGAAGACACATTTGTAAATACCATCTTAACACTCCTTAGTCACAAATGTCTCAAGAGTGTAGGATTCTAAGTTAAAGATTATATAATAAGATTCATACGTCACCATTGTTTTATAACGAACTAACCCTCTGTGGCCACATGTTGCGGGCGCCAAATGAAAGTAAAACAAAAGCCGCCGTTCTGATAAAAAACGGACTTTGACGAAATTGTATTTTATGAAGTTTATAAACAATAAAAAAAAAAATATTAAAATAATCGTATTAAAAAAAAACTTTTCAGTCGGCACAATTTTAGTGGGTCGATCGCGTTAGGGGAAACAAAGGTATTTTTTATTTTGGCCTTATATAAAAATATTAGCTGCTAATGTTTCTAATATTTTAAGGTTATGGGGGTTATGTGGACATAATTTTGCATTTCCAATCCCTGCGACCTTGATCTATTTTTTTTAAAATTGTGTTCAAGGTCGTGTAAATAACAGTTAATAAGTCAACTATGTCCCAGGCAAGAAGAGATTTATCCATTTTGAAGTTACAGTTTGGATAGGTATGTGGGACACGTAGAGAGGCTATTCCTATTACACACAAAAAACGTCGCTATATTTAAAAAAAATGCCCCAAAATGATGATATTTAATTGAAAGTAGTTCTATTGAACTAAAATATGTATTTAAATACTCAATATTTGAAGGTCACTATTCTGTAATTAAAACTTAAGAATGGCGAAGCTTTTAATTAAGTAAAATTGCCTTTTGATGAAATTGCTACCTCAAAATAAAAAATGCAAAGTTATACATACCTTTAAAATCAGAGCTCAGAACACCTTTGTATCCAAATTGCAAACTAACCAGTAGAAGAACTAAATCTATATTACACACTGGGTTTGACTTCATATGAAAAATACTTAATCCATCTGATTTTATTGTGATAAAGAAGTCATAAAAATATACGCATGGCTCATTTCTTGCATTCACAGTTCACCCCAGAATATATTATAGAGATGAAATTGACAGCCCACATCCGCAGGAAATCAATATGCGCACGAGAAAGACAGAAATTTTTTTTATATTTTCACCATTAAAAGATACAGATATGACAGTTGTTTTGATATCTATTTTTCTCCGAATCTGATCGTAATCGTCAAATAAAAGGTGTGCTGTGGGATGTAGAAATAGCTAGCATTAGAAAGCTTTTTCATCAATTCTGCACTTTATCAAAGAGTAATTATAAACCTACAGAAATGGCATCTTGCTTTGAATCTATAACATCCGCGATTTCATCCTTCCATTTACTGGTTTAATAGATTCGTATTTGAAAAGTCTCGGGTGCCTGAAGGCATGAACGGGAATGTCATTGAATTTTAGTTGAAAACATTTGGACAAACTCCGTTTTCCCCTAGTCGTATGTATATCGATTGGGAATCGGGAAACACTACGAACTCTTCCCTCTTGTTCCCCCTACACCCATCTACCCAGTTTCTACAGACGAAGATTGATAATGAAAGAGCCTAGACAGAAATCCGGATACGATGATTGGTTATACCAACCACACACTCTTCTTATGTTTAATGACAATCATATCCGCGAAATAACGAGGTGGATTTACATTAATATTCCAGATTAACCACGGGGCTCCTGGAATCCAATGACATTGCTGCAATTGACCTCGGTTATACGAGTTAAGTAGGTGAATCATGCTTAGAATTCTAAGTGCTAATAATTTCAAAACTAGATCATTATACAAGCATATTTCTACCAATTTCCCCAATATCTGAATATGAAATACCTGCATTAATTCAGGAACATCCTACACACGATGAATTGCGCTGTCTGATTCAGAAAATTTGTCCTCTGATCGGCTCTTATTTTTTTTAATAAGGAAAAAAATGTTCATTGCCTCAGATTCGTCTCGAAGTTGAATTAACTTCTTTGATATGAAGTGTTCTGACTAAATCTCGCAGACGTTTAAATCACCATATTGAAGAGTCAACCTTTTGTTAGATATTAATTATAACCAATGTTTGAGGCACTTCTTAGAGCGACTACACGATTGTTTGATTAGATTACCTGTAAATCTTGATCAACAATCATAAGTAACAATGTGCGAAGTTTACTTTATCGTTTGATGCTGATAAGCGATTTCTCACAAAGTGGACATGAATGTGGAATATTGATAGAGGTGTGTAATTCAAGATAAGGTCAAAAATTAAGGATGAAAGGGGGATTTCCTAGTATGAATACATGTGCGTAGGTCCTTAATATGACTCGTGAATTTTATTAAACCATGTATTAAATGAATGACGGAAATAATAATGTTCCAAAGATAATGAAAGTCTTTATAAACGAAGCTTAATAACGCGCAATATTCAGGATAAAATACATCGGAAGTGACGTCATATCTAATGTCGGGGTTTTTTTTATGTCTTCTTGACAATCCAGTCAGTCAGGCTTTATGAATACAAATTCGGATCGATCTTGGTCACAAAAGCGTAGCAAGTGAACCAAATAAATTAGGAAAAGAATGTCGCTTTTCATTTTGTGGATTGTGAATATCGTTTTTTTTTTCATTGTAAACTTAAACAAGAAAATAAAATCAAATACGTCTATGTTTCTTTCGTATGAACTGATGAAGGGGAAACATCTAATTTACATCGAAATAGCAATGATAAATGTTTAAAGTTTCAGAATTAAAGTATTCATTTATTATTTTTCTGGACCGACGATGTTGCTTATCTACATATACATAGTCGCCCGGTGAGGATATACTGATAATTGCACCGCTTAATATTAGCTATACATGTATTGTCGACGGCGACTAACACACACACATATATATGCGACAGAGTATCATTTGTGCGCTCATTCGCAGGTTTCTTTGATTACACTTTTGGCTCCTGTTAACTGTATATTGATTTATCGTAATGATGGAGTAGACAACTTTGTGAATTATTTAGGCATGCAAACTCTTGATTGTAACTGAACTGCTGACCAAGGTTAAAGCGTCTGATTGTTCATTCAATCCTAAGGCTTTCATATACGTCGATCTCTATTTACAATGTTTATATTCAAATCAAATTCATATCTTTGTCTCATCAACCTTGGCAATTAAGTAAAATACTTTTATTTAGTAGTATATTTCTTTGTCCAGTTTTTAAAAAGTCAAGATTCTAACACCTGTGTTATGGGTGGCGGAATGATAAAAAAAAAGTACGTTTACGCATAAGAAACGATTATGTTCCAAAAACATACTGAAGTAAAAAACAGTGTGAGTCTTTGGATTTTATTTCAAGATGCTCACCTTTATTTTTTTTTTATTTATTATTATTTTCTTGTGTCGTTTGAGTTTATCAGATAATAAAATTGTGTAATGTGCTTTTTCTTCTTTAACCCTTCTGCACCACGTAAATCTTACACCTGCTTTCAAATTTGTGGGCATACACGTATTTATACATGTATTTACAATTGTGAGACAAAATAGACCTGTTTCCTCTTTTTTGTATTGTTTGTATGTTATTTGTTTTGTTTTGTATTTTTTATCATACATGTGTTTATTATGTCATAAGTACGGACCAGCATACAAACTACATACATTAATATTTATAGTAGTTCCACGATATAAGAGAATATTTATGCTATATTCAGAAAAAGCATGCTTAATATAGTAGCAATGAAGTAATAAAGGTCTTATTATAGAGAGAAGTAACTCATTCTAAACAAGAACTGCAATTGCATATTTAACATTCGTTGGATATTTTTACCATACGTATATGCTTCGTTAGAACTCTTGATTCCTTTTTTTCCCTCTTTTTTAAAAGGTGTTCAAATTTTTGTATTTTAAAACCAGAAAACAAAAGCTAAATTTTTCTCAGTGAAACAATCTCTGTATTTACTTCTTGGGTTGTTTGCCCTTAATAACATAGAAATCTGTAAGATCTTCTAGATTTGTGGGCAGCTCTCTACCGCTGGTCTCCGGTAACCATAGAAACAGAATACAAACAACAATGGAGAGGCTCCCAAACACAACACCAGGTCCCCATTGGATCCACGCTGCCTGAAAGAAGAAACATATCTTCCATATTTCCATATTTAGGAATTCAGCTCTGATAAAGATGAGTGGTAAAATGATTGATCACCAATCGACAATAACTTACAAACATTGTGGTAAAAGGCGACAGCATCCCGCCAATTCTAGCTGCTGCAGAAGCCATGCCATATCCAGCAGATCTAAAGAGTATATTATGTGTTATATAGCAAACGTATTCTCGGACCTTCAAACCAACAAGCTGGAAAAACACCTCGAACGCTTTACTAGCAAAATTAAACAAAATGAATGTCTAAACATACAGTGACAGAGATGTTTGATATTGATAAAAGACGTAATATAACACATTTTCTGAGATTGTTTTTTGAATCTATTGCAAAACATGTAGATGCCAATCTTCTCTTTCAGTTTGGGTAAAAAGTTGGTCAACCATGGGAACAGCCTTTGTTTCTTTATGTACATGTACTTTACAAACGGATTTTGCGCAAGGTGAGATGGTACAAAGATAACACTTTAATTGATTTTACTGAAAGGAGTCATTTTACTGCTTGTGCTAAAAAATCATTCTTTTAAGAAGAAGCATTGTTCCTGTAATAAAACTTGACTGTTAACATCAAAAGATACATAAATCCATGCTGCCATCACTAAATAACCTCATTCCTAAACTATACATGTATCAATGATACTTGATGAGTTGATTAGATGTGCACATTCTATCCAGTAGAAAACTTTTTCTTTAATCAATCGAAAATACCAGTACATGTATATGATTTTCAGTCATACAATTCTCTCTCTCTCTCTCTCTCTCTCTCTCTCCTTACCATATCAAAATGATAAATGTTCAAAAAAGTTCTGAAATAATCATGGAGAAGATATTAAATATACCTTAAGTTAGTTGGATAAATTTCGGGAGTGTACAAGAAAATGGTCGCAAAAGATCCACTGATTCCGAATTTTCCCATGAAGTTAAAAAATGCCGAGAAGCCATCTATAAGTGACGTTCTATCTAAACAAAATATATAATGAAAATATGATAAAGATATATGTATGGGAGGGCGGCTATTTTTTAGGGATGGGTATCGGCAAAAAATTTGTATCGTGATATATCACGATTTCCCCCCAAAAATATCAGGATAAATTGTGGTATTTTTACATCAATTTTTACTAATATTTCAAATGAATTTTCATGTTTCTTAAAAATATGCTATAAAAAAATAACTTTACTTTTTAGATTTTTATTTATTTAATATAAAGTATGTTTGGATGCCGTTGGTTAACTGTTTTGAACATTTTTTTACACTTCCTGTAATTGTCATTCAATAGTTTGAACAAATAAATGAATAATTTTCGGAATTTTTAGTTATGTTCCAAATACCGGTATTTTAGTCTCCGTGTCACGATACGAATATAGCGATATACCGGTATACCGATAAAATCGCGCATCCCTACTATTTTGTAACAACTTCAACAACAACAATATATATATATATATATATATATATATATATATATATATATATATATATATATATATATATATATATAGACATATATGTAAATGTTTTAAAAGGCAGATTAATGTGATCGCTGCAAATCAGTATTGTATGACTTCTTCCAGACGCTTAATTGTCTCCGGCGTCGGAGATTTACGGAAACAGCCGAGCGTCTGGTTGAACATACCCTCGACTTTTGCGGAATATCGATTCCTAGAAATATAGGGGTTTTTTTTTACACTCGATCTTTGCAGAATATCGTTTCCTAGAAATATTGGGGTATTTTTTTAAAGAAAAAAATCGAGACTTATTCGTCGTTTCATTTCTTTAAGTGCATAAAAATTTGAATGCGATTCAGATATGTATCACATATTATTATAACTATATTTGATTTAATATAAAAGTCAGGTATGAGGTACATGTTTATTCGGTATTTTCTAATGTTCTAAAAAAAAAAAAACGGGAGCTAGCTGTCATCTTAAACGTCAGCTTATGAAAAGCAAACTTGCTTATTAGACGTGTCTTATTTTACACACGAATATAATGCATATTTTATAAATGATAGGATTTTAAAATTAAATTGATAGATACATTTTTGTAAAGATGTAGTTTAATTTTCAATAATTTCCTATCACAATCTCATATACAATGACAGAAATACTTGTAAAGATACCTCTCAATGTCAACAATATGGCGGACAGGACAAGGGAGATCCCTGCAATGGCGTGAAACACAGCGCATGTTTTCTTCCTACCAAATCTAGATATGGACAATTATAATCAATACCGTTTTAAATGTTGTAAGGGGATGTAGCTCTAAGATTATATAATTTTTTTCCTTGAATGACATTTACTAAAGGAGTATAGAGATCAGTTAAGGGAGTATAGTAATTAGACAGTACAGTAAGTATACATATCAGCTAAGGGAGTAAGAAAACTATATATACAGAGATCTTCTAAAGGAGTATAGAGATCAACTAAGGGAGTATAGAAATTAGGCAGCACAGTAAGTATACATATCAGCTAAGGAAGTAAGATAACTATATATACAGAGATCTTCTAAAGGAGTATAGAGATCAACTAAGGGAGTATAGAAATTAGGCAGCACAGTAAGTATACATATCAGCTAAGGAAGTAAGATAACTATATATACAGAGATCTTCTAAAGGAGTATAGAGATCAACTAAGGGAGTATAGAAATTAGGCAGCACAGTAAGTATACATATCAGCTAAGGAAGTAAGATAACTATATATACAGAGATCTTCTAAAGGAGTATAGAGATCAGCCAAGGGAGTATAGAAATTAGGTAGTGCAGTAAGTTTACATATCAGCTAAGGGAGTAAGATAATTATATATACAGAGATCTTCTAAAGTAGTATTGAGATCAGCTAAGGGAGTATAGAAATTAGGTAGTGCAGTAAGTTTACATATCAGCTAAGGGAGTAAGATAACTATATATACAGAGATCTTCTAAAGTAGTATAGAGATCAGTTAAGGGAGTATAGTAATTAGGCAGTACAGTAAGTATACATATCAGCTACAGGAGTAAGATAACTATGTACAGAGATTTTCTAAAGGAGTATAGAGATCAGCGTAGGGAGTATAATACTAGTAACTACAAAGAATAGAGTTCAGTTAAGGGAGTAAGGAGATCAACCAAGGGAGGTAGAATCGGTAGGGGAAGAAAGTAGTTCACTAAAACGAAATAGTTCCTTAGCTTGCAAGCAGTATATAAAATAAGTTGGTCATCTGAATTAAAGATGCTTGATATATGTGAAGAGAAAATTCCACGTTCAAAATCATTTTCATTTTTCTGTTAACTTTGAAAGGAATTGGATTGTTTGATATATGCATACACTGACTTTAATTACCCTACTTTTACTTTCATTTTCAGATGTTTTTGCAAAACGAATTTGACATGCCACCTCGAGATTTTGTTTGAAATGTCATGTTGGCATAAATACATCATCCTTACCTGTTGGCAGTGTACATACAAACAAACAAGCTTGGGATCTCTATAACACCATTTATAAAAAAGTTCAGGAATCTATTTCCGGTCATGGTTCCAGACGTCAGAAATATACCATAGTATGTTAAGCTATTCACAAACCTGCAAAAATACATTCCATCCCGTAGTCTTTCTGACAGTATAAAATCATGAGATATGTCAATGTTAACAATGTTCAGGTGCAAACAAGCTAATTTAGTGAATTTGTATCCCCCGCTAAAGGAAAAGAAGAAAAGATGGATGACTTGGAAAATTGCAGACGGGGAATAAAAGGTCGACTTTGACCTTTCAGCTTTTGTCCTTAATGTCAATAAGAGTCTTTTTGATCTAAAGAAATTCATAACCTTTCGTTTCATTGCAAAGAGAGAGAACTAAAGTTATCATCCTACCGCTATGTATGCAATATATATATAAATTTTTAACCCTGGTCTTTAACCTTTTGACCTCAAAATTATAAGTGGTATTTTTTAAGTCATATTGACTAGAGGTATAACATTTCATTGCAAAACTTCAGAGAGATATAAAGTTATCACCAGCAAACTATTTTATGCAGTATATGAATTTCTGACCTTGACCTTTAACCATCTGACCTCAAAATCAATAGGGGTCTTCCAGACATGGAAAGTTATTATATGAATATTCTTTTTTTTTAAATCAAAGAAAACTCATGTTATCGTCAAACGATATTTTGCAATGTATGAATTTTTGACCTTGATCTTTGACCTTACAATCAAAAGTTCTCTTCTTTAGGCCATAAGGAGTTGTGATATAAAACTTAAACTCACAGGCTTTTTGAGATACAGTATTATCTGGAAACGAAAGTGTTACACACGGACAGAATGTATAAATTTCTGACCTTGATTTTTTATCTTTTGACCTCAAAATTCAAAAGGGTCTTCTTTTGGCAATAGTGGGTTGTGATATTAAAAATCATTTCAAAAGATCAAAGGCTTTTTGAGATATTGTCCGGAAACGAATGAGGATAGACAGCGGATGGATGGACAGTTGAATGCAGAGACCAAAATTAATTTTCCCTAATTTCAGTGAAAGCAGGGGATGAAAAAAAACCTACCAAACAATCCATACTATCATTGATGTCAGCAAAATATGCCTTTTGCGGAATATTTCAAGAAAAGTATACGTCTCGTTGGTGGTATGATCCTTTGAATTTTGCAGTTCATCATCTCCACCACCAATTAGCGACTTGACTGCATTCAACGAAGAGTTAACGTTACTTAATTCCAAAATAGCTGATGGTTTCTTTCCATTACATTTTGCAGCTCGACTTATCCACGCCCGCAACTCTTTCGTCTTGTTATTTGCCACAAGCCAACGTGGTGATTCTTCCAATATCCTAGAAACATTAATTTGTAAATTTTAGGATTTATGAATATGTTTAAAAAGTAAACAGAAAGTATTTTTGACTAGCGTGTCCTAAGGTGAACACCTCAAATGCAATAACATAAACTAAGGGAATAATGGAAGCTACAGAATGTTCCCAAGAGTTTGGTTTCTTATTATCTATCATCTGTGCACGAGTCTGTGCATCTGTGCACGAGTGTTTTCTTAAATGTCTTGTGGGATGGAATATACAAAGTAAAATAACACCAACATGTTTATCAAACAAAGCCTGTCCTCTCATGGAACGGAATAACAGAAAGAAGGCAAACACTCTCTGTGTCACTCTGCTTAACAAATAACAGATTCTCTTACCATCGAGTTCCAATGCAATGGAACCCTGTAAGCCCCGCTGCTAGCATCGTATAGCGCCAAGATACATTACGCAAAAAGTATGTTAGTAAGGGGATGCTTGATATGCTGAGAGACCATACAATGCAGGTGATGTATATCATTGGTCCTCTACATTCGGCTGGGAAAAGTTCTATGCATAAGGCAGCGAGGGAAAGTCCAAAACCCTGCAAGTAATTGATAATATTTGCTTCTTTTTCATAAATCTCAGATTGAAATCAAACAGTTTTGAAATATGTACAATATGCAATTTCTATAAGTGACAAACCTGCTGAAAAGCTCCAATCAAAAATCTTAAGATGACAAACACTGCAAACCATGGAACAATTGCACCAAGTAATGTACAAACAGTCATTGAAATGAAGGTCGTGTATACCATGACCTTACGACCATATTTGTCAGCCATAGGAGTAAACAAGCTGGCTCCAAGCGTCTGACCCACCATGACCATTGTTGTGGACATTGCACCTAGACCTTCTCTGTTACACACTAAATTCCACTATAATAGACAAGGTTGCTGAAAATTAATACTTAAAGAAATCTGAGCAATTCTTTCTTTTCGGAAATTATGGAAAATAAGTTTAATTGCTATGCTCTAACATATCCTTGAAAAAAAGGAAGCCGAATGATTTGAAATATATATAGTATTTGATTACGCAAAGATAATTTATTAAGACAAAACTTCGATAAACGGGAGTTATATATAGGAATAATGAATCATATTATACAATTCTACCTTTAACTTGAAAGACGATTTTTTTAAATATTGAAAATGACCCACCTCAGTTACAACTGTCTCTGGGCCTTCGTAGTCATAGCCATTGACACAGGACAGTTGAGAAACCCCAACAGTGTTCGACTGATTAACTTGAACAGTGACGTCACATTTGTGATACTGTATTTGTACGTCACTGCTATTTGTAGAAATTTCTTCACCATTCCAAGTAATAATGGAAATGTCCCGGCAACGGAAATTTGGGATGTTCCCTGAAAGAGAGTCAATAAGCCCTTATTTGATTTCATCTACTCTTCCTACCTTTCATTCAGTTTGTTTGCTTAACGTCCCTTAGAGAATTGAGATGTCACTACTGGCCGGTGGAGGGCTGCAAATTTAGACCTATACTCGGCATTTATGGCCTTTGGGCAGAGAGGGATCCTTTTCGTGCCAGCAGGGACCTCGGTTTATACGGTCTCGTCAGAAGGACCGGTCTCCACGTTGCACATTAACTGCGTATTTCACAATATTCTATTTTACATATACATGTATACATATATTCTAATTATAAATACACGTATCTTTGTGAATCGCATTAAAGCGAAAATAGAATAAGCACCGAATCTGCAAAAGCGTGATTTATCTCTCTGTATGCTCATCATCTCTAAGATTAACATTTCATTATATATCAAAAAATTAGTTTAGTTTAACCAGGAATGTTTTTAGTGAAATAAAACCCTTTTTTACATGTTAGTTTCCAATTTCTGAAATAATTATTACAAGCTTAAGGCTTTGATTTCCACAGAAAAAAGAAAATGAGTCAATCACAGTTGATTACATCTTGGAAGAATGTTTCAACTCTTTATTTCATTTTGATCAGCATTGCCTTGGGGATATGTACTTAATATATAAAGTACACAGCAATTGTAAGGCTATAGCATATATCCGTCAGGAATATTATATTAATTTTCCTTTGAAAATAATCATTGTGACCAATGTTATCAATGTTGTGAGTCATTATTGTAATTTTTTTTTTTGAAAAATTTCTGAATGATTTAATAATACGTATTTGGACTGCAGGTATTTTTTTCCTTCAAAGTGTATCCATTTTGGAGGTGAAATTACCCTTTATATCTGTCAATCTAATTTAAATTTTGTTCACAGCACGACAATTTCAGTGTCGAATGAGTGTCCAGGGACAGACTTTTGGGTCGAAACACTCTTCAAGCCAAGACAAGCTTTCCTGACACCATGTCTCATGGCGGATACTGTGAAATCACTGATTTTCGTGAGGTTTAATTTTCGTTGGTTTCGTGGTATGAAGAGACCCACGAATTCATGTCCTCCACGATATGTTAAAAATTCAAACAGTATCATTTTTGTCCTTCAATTACGAAATTGAATCCCCAAGAACTACTAATTTCCCCTCAAACCACAAAAATCTGATACACCCCCCTTAAATAAGTGATTTTCCAGTACCTGTAAACTATAAAACGAAATGAACAAAAACGAACTAAAAAACTAAAAATATAAATAAATAAAGAAAAAAAAACGAAGCGAAAAGAAACGATAGAAAAAAGAAAAATGGTGAATAATAATTATTTTATTGGTATTATCATAATATCGATTTCAAAATGTAAGGGGCGTTCGATAGAACTTTCACATAATCATACATGTCGGGAGCTTGTAAGGAGGAGAGGCTCAGTCACATAAATTCAAGTACATCTTTTTCTTTTTTTTTTTTTTTTTAATTTTTTTTTTTATTTTTCGTTTTATTTTTTTCCTTTTCTTTTTATTTTGTTTTCATTTCTTTTTGCTTCGTTTTCCCTGTACATTTTCTTTGCGTTTCTTTTCTTTCTCTCCTTCGTATTCAGGTACCCCCTTCATGGCAAACAAATAATTTGGACATAGAAGTTAACAGAAGGACAAAAACAAAACCCACTTCACATTTCATGGCAGTAAAACAAATGATGAAGAAACTATAGTTCATGGTTTAGATTTATGGTTTGTAATTTGCTCATCTTTTCATTTTGCTATGTTCTGTCAATCGTATTCTTTTGAACCACATGTAACTAAGACACTGTTTGAAATATTTGCCAAATAAATTCATATAAACAAAAAATGATTGAATTCATATTACAGATTAATTCCCATAGTTACTAAGATAGTATCTAAACAATAGACAAGAGTACATTACCTATAAACACAAAAATGAGTACCGGAAAGACTACGGGTAACAGACAAATTTGGTTGTACACGTATTGGAAAATTTGGAATCGTCCATATTTGCCCAAAGATCGCAAGACTTCATCTACATCGTGTGTAATTGCCATTTTGCAGGAATGTCGATGTTAAATATTTGAGACAAACACAACCTTATAGTTTCTTAATAGATGAAATGTTTTCTAAGTCACGTCGTTACTTTGTCACTGGGCAACTCATTTTCCCATTTCGTATGTCTGGTCATCTCTCCCTCTCTCTCTCTTTCTCTCTCTCTGGGTAAAATAATATACCAGTACATTTGATAAAATTAAACCTTTTATCAGAAAACTTGAATCTTTTGATACATGTATCATAACATACAGTTATTTTAAAGACTTTCGAAATGTCTAAGAGTAACGCGTATTTTATGATGATGGACCTCCCCTTACCACCCTAAGCTTTCAACCAATTGCAAAATATACATGTAATATAACTTTCGTCTGTTTTTGGAATATCATATCTGTAGGATTTAAACACGGATATATTGACATTGGACACATTGATTTCCAGTGAATCCCTCGGATATGATAATTGGCTACTATTCTTTTTTAATGAACGACAACCATTATACCCATCCCACCCCCACCCCCTTGAGAAGTGGGGAGATATATAGTGGTTTGGTTAACCCTCCGTCCATCCGTTCCAGTTGGGGTAGCCATTTATATCGTATCCGCATTTCCTCCTATACTACTGGATAAACTTTAAAGAAACTTTCACAGAATCTTTATTACATAGTACCATTATGCACCCCCAATTTTAGATTTCGATCGGACAGATATTTGGTTTTTTTTGCATAGTAAAACATGGACTTTGCCATTCTTGGTACACTTGGGGGTATCCATCTCTTATGCACAAGTCCTATACCAACGAATAAAAATTTAATGCATCTTTCACAGAATCTATTACATAGTGCCATTGTACAACTCCTATTTTACGTTTTGATCGAACAGATAGATGGGATTTCCTTTCGCAAAACATGGACTTTGCCATTCTTGGTACACTTGGAAGTCCATCTCTTATCCACAACTCCTCCTACACCACTGAATAAAATTTAATGAAACTTTCACAGAATCTTTATTACATAGTGCCATTGTGCATCCCCTATTTTAAGTTTACATCGGACAGCTATTTGGGCTTTCCCATAACAAAATGTGAACTTTGCCATTTTATTACATTTTCAACAGTGAAATACTGTGATTTATTTATTGAATAAAAGTGATATTCTCTCACAGTGTGATTCAAGAATACCAACATGATATTCTCTCACAGTGTGAAAGGATATCAAATTAAGTAAAAAATAATTTCTAGCCTGTCATAAGATAGAGATAGTAACTAAGCATCTTGATAGAGCTAAAACTGCAAATTTCTTCCCAAATATGTTGCTGAAATCCATGCCATGTAATGTTTTCAATCACGCAACTGCTAAGCTATGACGTCTCAACCTCTCAACTATGACGTCAAGCCTATGACACTGTGTTAAGAAAAGACAGAGGCAAAGGGAAAATCAAAGAAAATGTAATAAACAGAAAATTCAATGTTTATAATCTATATACTCATATGATAGGCGGGGGTATCACTTTGTAAGCCCAGTGCTCACAGTACCTCTAGTTTGAATTGTATAGTTACAGCAGAGGATATTCTGAGGAACTATTCTTTGCCACAACCTTGGCTAAAATTCTGTTGCTTCAAACAATTTTCGAAATCTTCATATCACTTTCGATTCTATGCAGTTTTTAACTTAACATTTTCATTGCATTATGAAGGATTCTTTGTTAATCCAAAATCCAATCAAAAAAAAAAGATAAAGAATAACATTAGAAATTATACAGGACAAAATGACAGAAATTTCAGCTATTTTATAACAAATACAGTATCCCAAAGGTTTTTTTTTTAATTGTAAAACAAACTTATTTCTATTAGATATAATACGGTTACCAGTTATTCCTATGATAAACATGTAACAGGTTTAGGGTTACTGAAGAAGAATAACAGCCTGTTGAAGGTTCTATTGACAAGACTTTATTGCCAGATAAATGAGAAAATCAAATGAGGAAATCATATGATGAAACCCTGCAATATTAACAATATAACAAGTGTAAATATTTAAGCATAAATACAATGATTGTCAAGGGAGACGATTCATTACACATAAAATATACATATATTTCTCCACAATTAAAGAACAATCAATTCTCATCATAAAACTTTACAAAAATTATCATCATAATGTATTTGAACATTATATATTACTGAATAATCATAAAATCATTATATGCATACCATTCTATGGGAACAGGTGTGTAACTGCAAGCAATAATGCTGCATATATACAATGTATACAGTCTCAGAGTGATTTGTATGAGGCGCCGTTTTGGTATTTACTGCCAAAAAGTGATATCACCTATTCGAATAGGTGATATCACCTATTCAATTGGTGATATCACCTATTCGAATAAGTGATATCACCTATTCAGCTTCTGAATAGGTGATATCACCTATTCGAATAGGTGATATCACCTATTCGAATAAGTGATATCACCTATTCGAATAGGTGATATCACTTAATCATTTTGAATAGGTGATATCACTTATTCGAATAGGTGATATCACCCATTCGAATAGGTGATATCACTTATTCCTTTCGAATAGGTGATATCACTTATTCGAATAGGTGATATCACTTATTCCTTTCGAATAGGTGATATCACTTATTCGAATAGGTGATATCACCTATTCAAATTAAATAGGTGATATCACCAATTCAAATAGGTGATATCACCTATTCGAATAGGTGATATCACTTAATCATTTTGAATAGGTGATATCACTTATTCGAATAGGTGATATCATCTATTCAAATTATTCATGATATAACAACTGCTCCCAAGACTATAGCCTAAATTCTCATTTACTTTCACTTTCGTTTTATAACTTACCATTCTTTGAGACAATGAATTACAGCTTCGCATTTAGTTTTAAGCACCCCAGTAGAATTTGTAGTTTGTTTTGCTCACAAATTATATTTATTACACTTATCTATCATGTATACTATAGGAAAAATCAAAGGGTCTGTAAGTCTCGTTGACTTTCACTTTCGTTTTATAACTTCCGAGTACCTGAGCGTTCTTGGAGACAATGGATTACTGCTTCGCTTTTTAAGGACATACGCAACGTACCTTACCTACTGATAATTTTTCAAGATATTTTTAATTTAAGATTATAGTGCCATCAGATGTTCGTCGACAAAAAATCAGCATGCATTACCAGGGGATTTGAAAAGATATCAATTGATGAAAATTCTTGTATAATTCCAAGAAAAATACACAAAAATTACTAAACACATATTCTAGATGTTGTGTTTATCCAAACTTGTTTTAGAAGAAGTGTACAACAGCATATATAGACATACAAATGTAAGCACACAATTCCTTTAAGTATTGGAACTCTTCAATTCCAGGGAAAAAGACAATAAAGTTCAAACTACGTTGCGTATGTCCTTAAGTTGTAAGCATCGCAGTGGAATTATTAAACTTGTAGTTTGTTTTGATTCCCGATTGTTGCAAAGAAGAGGAGAAAATGGATTGATAGATGCAGGTAAATAGCGTTTAATTGCTTTATTTTTTCATTACATGACGTAAACTCAAGCTATTCCGAGGGGGCCAAGATTAGCCAACATACTTAAGCATTAAGGGAAAATTAAATCGTTTTTATGCTAAAATCGTCTGTATTCAAAAGGTACGCTTATCTACAGATTGGTTTCATAAATTTAAAGCATTGATTTAGCTTACAATGGTATAATTTGGAGTGTTGGACAGGTATACAACAGGCACTTGTTTCGTATACGGGGCACACCTACTTAATTTTACCACAAGGTACCTAACTCAATTTCAGGCACCCCTGCTTCAAGCTCGTATTTTGTTCATATATCAATCATTAACCTACTTTAAAATTATATCGTTCGCTTCGAGAGACTTTTTTCTTGTCAAATAAAACCTTTCAGACATCTCTGGTCGAGCCTCTTTATTGTAAACCACTCATTTATTCCTCGAAAATTACCCCGATACATATTAAGACTCAGATGGGATACAACTTCCGGTTGGGGTTAGAATAAAACCAAAGACTTCTGAGTTTTCCATTCCGATCTGGTTTTATCCTTCATTTATAACCCCAACCAGAAATTTGTATCCCATCTTAAGTCTTAATTAATTTTCGAGGAATATATGTCATTGAGTGGTTTACAATAAAGAGGATCAACCAGAGACATCTGAAAGGATTTATTTGACAAGGAAAAAGTCTCTCGAAGCGAACGATATAATTTAAAAGTAGGTTAATGATTGATATATGAACAAAATATGAACTTGAAGCGAGGTGCCTGAAATTGAGTTAGGTACCTTGTAGTAAAATTAAGTAGGGGTGCCCCGTATACGAAACAAGTGCCTGTGAGGTATACGCATGAGATTGGGATATTGAATGCAATGTCATTGAAAGCAAATAAAAAGTAGATGTACCCAAATGCATCGAATATGGGAATACAAAGTTGAATACCACGTCAATAACACATGATCCTTGTAGAAAACACATTCTTTTTTTTTAATTTAATTACTACAATAAATAAACAAGAGGCCCATGGGCCCATCGCTCACCTGAGCACATTCAACAGGCTAGGCAAAAGCACAAATCAGTTCAGTATTGAAAAGGTTGGGGGGGGCTTGAATTTTAAACTATCTGAAGATACTTCTATGTCAATATAACAAATGGCTTTGTTGTACTTGAGTACATTTTAAAAAAATTTTCCCATATATTCCTTTGTAAAAATTTGATCCCCCATTGTGGCTCCTCCCTATCCCAGAGGTCATTATGATTATTTGAACAAACTTGAATCCACACTACATGGGGATGTTTCCATATCAATATGACTAAACATAGCTTTTCAGTTCTTGAGAAGAAATATTTTTTCTGTATATTCTTATGTATAACTTTCGATCCCCCATTGGGCCCCACCCTACTCCCGGGGGTCATCATTTGAAAAAAATTGAATTTACACTATTTGAGGATGCTTCCATATCAAAATGACTAATCATGGCTTTGCAGTT